GAGTTCTCCCATAAGAAAACGATCACGGGCAGAGGCCACAGCTGGTCCCATCGCACTCTGGACTGAGGATGAGGTTAGGTGTGCACTTGGGAGGATGAAGGTTGGAAAGGCGGTTGGCCCAGATGGGGTGCCAATCGAGGCATGGAAGGCGCTCGGAGAGTACGGCATAAGGTGGCTCACCAGCTTCCTGAACAAGGTAACAGTGGAAGGAAAGATGCCGGATGCATGGAGGACAAGTACCATCCCCATCTTCAAACAGAAGGGCGACGCAATGGACTGCTCCAACTACCGCGGGATCAAGTGCTGTTGACTGCGCATACCATGAAGTTGTACAGCGCGGCTGGTCGATAAGAAAGGCTGAGGGGAGATTGGTCCATCTCCAGGAGCAGTACGGGTTCATGTCTGGAATGATACAACGGATGCCATTTTCATCGCCAGGCAAGTGATGGAGAAGTATCGCGAAAAGCGCAAGCCTTGCTACCTAGCAAGGCTTGCGCTTTCCTCGACCTAGGAAAGGCGTTCGACCGGCTACCGCGAGCAGTGCTATGGAGGTCGCTCAGGGAACGAAACGTGCCAGAACACCTCATCTCTCTGGTGAGGGACATGTACGAAGGAGCCAAAGCAGCCATACGCACCCCTCACGGCCTAACGAAGGAGGTGGACATCATGGTTGGGTCAGCTCTGAGCCCGTTCCTGGCTTCCTCTTAACACTAGATGGAGGGGCTTTGGAGGGCCATAAAGACAAAGCTCTTACGACAGACTGACGATGTCGCCTTGATAGCGAAATAGCAGAGAGGAACTTCAAGCCAAGGTGCAGAAATGGCAGAACATGGCAGAAGGATGGGCTCCGGCTGAATGTCAAGAAGACCAAGTTCCTGAGCTCCGAAGAGGGTGCAGAGCCGATCGTGGACGGCCATGGTGAGACCATCGAAAGAGTGGAGGACTTCAGATATCTTAGGGAGCCGATTGAAGTCTGCAGGGGCGTGGATCAGGGAAGCGTAAGGCTCGGAGTCAGCGCTGCAATGGATGAATGGAGAGTAGAACACTGGAGTCTCTGCAGATCGGAGGTCTCCAGAAGCTCAAAAGGGAAAGTGAACTTACAGTCTGGTGAGCCTGCGATGCTATACGGCAGCGAGTGCTGGCCCCTGAACAAGAACCACGAAAGGCAGCTTCACTCCGCTGAAGATGAGGATGCTGAGGTGGGCCTGCGGCTGGACGCGGCTGGACAGGGTCAGAAACGAGGATGTCAGGGCGGTCATGCAGACTGCTCCTGTCCAGCTGAAGATGCGAGAGCAGCGCCTCGATGGTATGGGCACGTGCTGAGGAGGCCGAGGATCATCCGATCAAGAAAGCGATGGACTTCGAAGCGCAAAGCAAGCGACCGCGAGGAGTCCCAAAGAAGAGGTGGAGAGACGTGATCAAGAAGGATCTAAGTGAAGTCATGGCCACAGCAGAGGACGCCCTGGACAGAGTAAAGTGGCGACGACTGACAAAGACAGCGGACCCTGCGACTGCGCGGGACTAACGCTAGGGAGAAGAAGAAGAAGAAGAAGAAGAAGAAGGAAGAAGAAGAAGAAAGAAGAAGAAGAAAGAAGAAGAAGAGAAGAAAGAAGAAGAATGTGGTGACTGGTTATCAGAAGTAATCTTCCCCGAGTGGTGTTAGTAACCTTATTTCGGAAAACGAGAAGATGGCGATGCGAGTGAGACACACCTCCATTTCAAGAGACGACGGCCAAAAAAAGTGGCCATAGATATTCTTTTCTTGGCGTCCGAATTTGTTGGAGATGTTGTCTGCTCGACTGTCTTTCTCGAACGAGAAGAGATTTGGTGCTCAGGCGCACCCTGCAAATGTCTTAAGATAAAAAATTTTTGGCGAATATCAGAAAATTCATTGAAAAAATCAACAGAAGATTGCATGGCAGTAACATAACAATGGATTTCCATTGGATCTATGCGATAGTTGTTTAAATAATTGTTGTCTATAAATAGTTGCTGGTGAATGAAGTACCAAGGAAGGACTGCGAAACGCTATGTCCAGGCGAGACTCGGGAAATGCGACGAGTTCTTGGTGGTACAGCTGAGGCTGGCACTGGAGTTACCGGTTCTTCCTCATCCATGTCGCCTCCTGAGCATAAACAGTTGCTGAATTGTGAGTAGGTTGAAAAGGTCACTACTCACCCATCATTTGTCGCTGCACGAGCAACTTGTACATGCCCTCTTGATTGATGAGCTCTTTATGTGTTCCCATCTGCTCAACTCGACCCTAAGAAGATCCTTATAACTTATCGGAGATGCCTAACATTTCACCATTTCTGATCTGAGTTCAAGTTACATTATTGATTACGACGATCTTGTCCGCGTTCTCAACTGTGCTAAGGCGATGGGCGATCAGAACCACCGTGCGACCTTTGAGATTCTTCGAGATCGCCTCTTGTACCTGCAAAGAAACTATTGCTTCGCGAGGTTCTCGGGTCTATAAAGACCTTAGGAGAACTGATGGTATGTAGGGATGTGACTTACCAAATGCTCACTTTCCGAATCAAGAGCGGATGTGGCCTCATCGAGCAGCAAAACCACTGGGTCTCGTACCAGCGCTCGAGCAATAGCAATACGTTGTTTCTGTCCACCTAATGGCAATTGATTCATTCACAAAATATTTGCAGATTAAAGAGGAAGTCTTCGTCGTCATCGGGTTGGGATGATGGGTGCAGTGGCTGGTAGCTCCATAGAAAGGCTACCAGTCGAGATTCGTGGCGAGTTTTTGCCCCGCAGGAGGAGCTTGTGTTCGGCGGCATCGAAAGAAGACTTGCGAAAAAGATTAAGGTTCTAGAGTTTCGGGAGAAAGTTAGACTTTCTAAGAAACTTTCACTGAATTTTGCAAAATTTCTGAATTTTCGGAAAGTTCTTCTGTTTTGGCCGAAGTTGGTAGTGACCGTGCCCAAGGTTCTTTTTTCGAAAGGTAAAGGTAAGTGGGCGAAGGTAAAACTTGTAGGGGCGGCATGGGGGCATACGGACCGCTCCTCGACTTGTAGCTCACCTGACATTTGGCTTCCTTTCTCGCCGACATTCGTGTTGTACCCGTCGCTTGTGTCCATGATAAAGCTGTGGGCATTGGCGAGCTTTGCTGACTAAAAATTAGCGAAATTACGGGAAGAAAGCAAGATTTCAGGGGATGAATGGGGCTCACGCTATAGAATAAACGGAATTCAGGTCAATGATCTTTCCCCGAGTATGAGTCATGAACTCCCCACTCCCCCCAAATCCTATTCCTTCACGTCAACCCGTCAAGCAAGTTTTCTCAAGGACATTGAGGAGAGGAGGAGAGGGGTCAGTGTGTATGCAAATGTACACAAATGGAAACGACATAAGTTGCTCAATAGGCTAATCTTAGTTCTTCTTTTTCTCGAAGATACACCCTCTATTCAATCCCGTCGAGTTCTCATTTCGCTCCTGAGGGTTCATCGAAGTGCGCCGCTATTAGGTATCGCCACTAGAGTAGCACTAGCGTGCTGATTAGTTTTGCTCCACAGGCACCACTAATGTTCAGAATAACATTCCACGGCTGCTAGGTGTGGGTAACGGGGTACAAAGAAGGATTTGTAGGTACCAAACGCCTTGTCATTGAAAATACCAAGAAAAACTGCCGATAAGCTCAAAATCAGGTCTTTTTTGCATTTATTCCAAGCTTATGGTTAGTACGAGCTTATACTAAAGAGACACACAGAGCGATGGCATGAGAAAGAGCACACGTCAAAAGATGAGAGAGCATATGGGCTAGCGAGATGCGGGCACCACCATTGATGCCAGTTCCAAAGTCCATTCATTGATAAGTGATGAAACCACTGTAGCAAAATCAAGCCTCGGTGGCTCTACAGTACAATTTCGCGTAACGAAATTTGTACAATCA